ATTGTATGTTTTCTTTTCTTTTAAATGTGCATCATTTTAGCCGTTGTAGCGTGACTACCTTTCTTGGCCACTGTTCATTACACAGTGCTTTACCTTTTAATCATTTTAGGAAAACAGCATCTTTAACTGGATCTCCAAAGAAATTGGCAAGAGAAAAAGCAATTCAATGCAAGTTTTCATTCACTACTGCTTTGCAAATCCTAGAAGTTGGGCAAATAAAGATTAAAAGCGTATTATTGATCCGTCTGTGTTCATAAATTGTTTATTTCAGATACAATCTTTTTGTGTTTTGTACCCAAAGTGCTTTTAGCAAAGGGCTAAAACTTAAGATCAATATTAAGGGGCGCTCGACACACTTTTAATGATAGTAGTGAATGGAATCTGTTTCAAAGTGTTCTGTTGATACCCTTGACTTTCTCTTTATATTACATTTCCACTGTGAATCATATTGAACCAAAAAAGCCAAAACGCATCTTCCAAATAAATGTCTATTTTCATATTCTGTTGCTGATTGATGTTACGCAATCATGATTCATCCTACTGTATCCTGAATCCATTAAGGCTTGAACGTTTGCTATTCCGAGCACTAACTTTCATAATCCTCCACAGTACCAGCAGCGTTGTGTTCCTTGTTTTGTGGCAGCAGCACCTGCGATCCGGCCAGAGATAATAGGCTGTGACTAATACATTTTGCAATATCATTTTTAATGTGACAATTATGCTTCAATGGACTGAATAAAATAAATCACGATATTATAATTTGACCCAGAAGCACTGTAGTACCCTTTTTCTTTACACATTACAGAGTACAATGATACACTTTATTTATGACCAAACAAGCATTATGGTGTTTGTCATGCTGATCAACAACGTAAGAAGGAGGGCCTCCTTTGGGATCACTATACTTTTTAATCTCTAATGGAAGGCCTTTGAGTACTTGTTTAAAACACAATATTTCACAAAATAAGTTTAAATATACTTTAAAGAGTTTCAGAGGAGGCATGACATTTTTTTTACTTAACACAAAAAGTAAGGCAATTTTTGTTTGGTAGATGATTTCTATGTTGAAAAAATGCTTTTTGGCAATACATCTTATACCGTTGGAAAGCCTGTTTTGTTACCTTTCCAAAAAAACACATTTGTGAGAACAAATGTGACAAATCTCCTCTGCCAATGCCAAACGGCAGCCACTCTCCGGTCTCGTACAGCTGCCAGGAACCAGCCATGACTGCCCTTCACCGTCAGGCCCACTTGCACAGGAACCTCAACATGTGGAGGAACATTATGCTTAGCGATGAGTCCAGATTCTGCCCACGGCACATGGATCGTAGGTTCACAGTGTGGAGAAGACACAGAGAATGCTTTGCTGATTGCTGCACCGTTAGAGTAGGAGTGGAGAGGATGGGATGGCCTGCAGTCCTGCCCGCAACCCCATTGAACACTTGTGGGATCAACTTGGGCTTCTGTCAGAGTGACCAACACAACCACGCCGGCTGACCTGGGACAAATGCTGGTTGAAGAATGGGATGCCATCCCACAGCAGTGTGTGAGCAGGCTGTTGACAGCATGAGTAGGAGAGGCTGTTGTGGCTGTGTTTGGTTCTTCCACACGCTACTGAGGCTGCTTGTTAAATGAATCAATTGTTAATAAATCAATTGTTGCCAATATGTCTTTATTTATCAGACTTCAATCATCCAATCCACCAAACAACACAAAACTAGAGTCAGCACCAAAAAAAGCTGCATTGGCAGAGGAGATTTGTCACATTTTTCATGGGCGCACCCCTCATACTCGGCTCTGCTGCTCATCCCACAAATGCTTGTTCCTCCCAAATGTGGTACCATTGGAAAGGTAATAAAACAGGCTTTCCAACGGTATAAGATTTGCCAAAAGGCATTGTTACAACATAGAAATCATCTACCAAACACAAATTGCCTTTTTGGGTTAAGTTTACATGTATTTTCGTCATGCTAAATTAGCCATATAAGAAATACGTATGGCTCTATGTTTATTCCCTGTGGTGCTCCTCATGTTTTCATTAATCTAAAGTGGAAGGTTTTTTGAGTCCATGCATCTGTATTGCACAACCTGCCACCACATTACCCCAAACTGAAGTGCAAAACAATGTTTTTCTAAAATCTAAACACTTTAAAATCAGAATCAAATGTATTGCCAATTATATTTAAAAATCAAATTTTCAATTGTATTTGGTGTATTTACATAACATAAGGGGAGTAAGGGAAATTCAAAGAATGTTAATACATAAATACATTAAATACTATAAAAATATGTACAAAAAGCAGTACTTTTTTGCCAACTGTCACATCTTGTAGGAAGTTTAACTTTGTAATGCCGATTTGAAGGGACGAATTCTCCCGATAAAAAAATTTCTGTTTATGCATCACTCCTCTGTTTTCTCCAAGATGCCCTTGTTTATAATTGGTAGAGCGCTGTGATTTTTATTACTTGTAAGGCTGTAATGGGGGTGTGGGCAGCAACGGAGATGTGCCTGACAGGGCTGCTGATGTTGGCGAGGGGATGGAAATTACCTCTCAGCAGCAATTGCACAGAGATCTCCAGGAGATCTTTTATATTCATTGAACACATCACAAACAAACCACAACACTGACCGGAGTGGTACAAAAAAAAATCATACATTTACTTGAGTAAAATTAACATAGATTGTGTTGTCATGTTTTTGTTCTGGAAGCTACGGCCACAAGGGCCAAGAGCAAGAAATAACAACAGAGAATGTGTTCCTGTTCGGTGCTTGGATTTATGTGAGTTATCTAATGGGCCATAAATTGTGATTGAAGCGAGAAAAAGGTATCCCCCCATGTGCTGGTGTGTCTCTAGGGTAAAGAAAGATGGGGAGAATTCAATGAGAAAATATATTAGAAAAATACATCACACTGATATCAAATTAAGAAATGTATCTGTGAAGATTATTTTTGGCTGTCTCATCACTATTCCTTTCATCTTACTTCAGTTTTTTATCTCTCCCTCCTTATGTCAGCCCTCCTGTTCAATAGAGTGGTTTTCTCAATCTGTGTTAATGTCTGGACTTGTGCTCTAACAGGCTTGTGAAACAGCATCAGTAACTGCCCAAGTACTTCCCCAATTGGGAAGTCAGCTTTAAGCCAGGTATGGTAAGGTAGAAAGATGTGTTTTTCTATCCAAAGAGAAATTGATTGCTGGCATCAAACATTCAAGGAATTCGGATGACGTTTGTCTATCTGATCAACTACATCAGAAAGACAAAGGGCCCCAAAATTGTTCCCACCATAGTTTTTCATCTTCAATGTAGGCCTTTGAATACTTACAAGTTACTTTCCACATTGACTTAAACTGAAAATGCAAAACAAAGTAAAAGAAAAACAATCACATTTCAGCAGAGGCATACAAATATAGAAATGACTATATGTATTTCTGCTTATGGTTAATTAACCATAAAAGAAAGGGTTGGCTCCTAGGAATGTTCCCTGTGTGCTCCATTGGTTTTAATCAGTCTACAGAGGAAGGTTGCATGTATATGGCCCAAACTGACTCAAATATTGAGAAGTGGTACGTGAACTTTTCACAACCGATAAAAGTACGATTTTTGTCACCCACGATTCATATTTTTATATTGACCTATCTGTACCAGATGATTTCTGTCAATTTTGCGAAATTTCAAAATAATGTTCTGCTTTTCATCTGAAGCGCTATATTACTATTACCGTAACATTAGGCAACTGTGAGCTGTTGTCATCAATGTTAGTCGTAGGTTAACAGGATTGTTCATACAACGATATAATATGTTTATTCTTCAGTTTTATACACTTCAACATGTAGTATATTTAAGTGTTGCCTCATCTTTAATGTGATGAAACCAAGCGGTAAACCCTGGGGAAGAGCTGGGACGCCAATACGGAAGTGCAACACACTGCAGTTCATCTAGTGGCCAGTAGGAGCAGTCTGCAGAAGGGAGCAATTTCCATAGACCCCCATGTTAAAATGCCCAACTTTAGAGCAGAATTAAACATGTTTACATCGTGGTTCAAAAAACCATATTCTCTGTATAGTTAGATCCCCCCTTCATGAATATGGATTGGGGGGGTGAATTTTTTCTCAACTCTTCTGTTTAATTAATATTAAGCCTTAAAGTTATGCATATATTAGGGCGTGGACACATTGAGTGACAGCTCCGTTCAATCACTGCTGCTGCTAGCTTCTTGTCTCTCTGCTTGCTGCTCCGTGAAGCTAGCTACAGGGACTCTGCCTGTTCAGCTCATCCAGGGAACACAACTTGATCCGGCTGTGGTTGTTTGTTCTTCATGCTTATATATCGGACTATTGTGACTCGCTCTGCGGTTAAAACAGACGGTGCATTAATGCGGTAAGTGAAATTTGAGTACTTTATTTATGTGTTAATGATTTTAATCAGCTATGTAATGAATGTTAAGGTTTGGGTTAGCGTGTAAGCGAGTGGTAGCTACATCGGTACTAACGATGCTAATAGTAGCCTCCAAGTTAAAATCATAGACTATATATAAAGGATCAAACTAAATAGACAAGTGTAACACTTCATATCTTGGGCTATCTGACTAGAAGGATTCTGGGTTCTACTAGAGTGGATATACAGGTAAGTAATTAGACCAGAGACCAGGTGGTTTGAATAGAACAGCCGGCAATTTACTGACGAAATAGACAAAACATTAAACATAGACAATGAATATTTTCTGCAGTATAATCAGAGGTAAGTATTTCACCTTTCCCTTGTTTTCTAATTTCTGTGACTTAGTAAATGGTATCCATATAGGATGAACAAAATAAAATAGCCTATTTTATTTTAGACCGGTCTACTAAGTATTATTTATAGATTTTTACTATTTTAATCTCTTCAATATCCTGAGTTAAATCTTTTTCTTTTCCCTTTTCACAGGTAAAATATATCTAATTCAATGAAAAAAACACAATTGTACCATCAATGAAATCAAATGACAAATGAAAACCTAGAGTACAATATATAGTGTCTCTTTAAATCCAGGTACAACTTAAATCCAGTTCCAACCTTATAATTTCTTCAATACTCCTACCACTCTGGCAGTGAGTTCAGCTATTGTCTCTTGATAAACCAGCAAGTCCTCTCACTGGCGCGAAGATCAAAGCAGTCCGTGGGTCTGGCTCGCCATCTTGTATCAGAGCGCGTGTGTGTGTTGTCCTCTCACTCACGATCAACTTTCTTATCCAGTCCAAAAAACCTGACCTGTACGACAGGTCATGAAAGAATATAAATATAATATAATCTAACAATATAAATTATATAATTACATTTTCAAAACTATTGCAAACTTAGCTCTTTTGTCAATACAGCTTATAATGGGGCTCAAAATGGCAGCTTTACTCTCCTCTACACGTGTCATTTATCCTGTTCACACAAAATAACACATATTTCACCTTGTAAAATACACATTAAAGCCACGTAGTTTCAGCCAAACAAAATAACAAATACATGACATTGCAAGCCATGTTCATAGCTTCCCTTACAGCTCAACAACATGAAATGCTAACAATGAAGCTAACATTAAATCACTCATACAAAACTTTTCTATGAAAAGGTTTGACTCACCAAAACACCGTTGGTTAATGTTCTATACCGTCTACTGGGTTTCCCGACCGTGTGGATGGTATTTTTTATCTTTTTTAAATCAACTTTGAATCACTTTTAATATAATTTACTCCGCTCGTCTCATCTGCGTCTAGCTCCGTTTTCTCTTTTCTCCTGCTACGCTGCGCGTGCCTGGTGGTGAGCAGAGATCCCTTAAAGCAGGGCTATTCAATTAGTTTGGAATGGGGGCCAATTGATGAAAATGATCCAAAGCAAGGGGCCGGGAAAAAAATGGCTTGAAATATGAGCAATCATATTAAGAGCTTCAGATACAGTAAATACTACAGCAGGTCACCCTTGAAAAAGAGTTCAATGATCTCAATGGGATTCACCTGCATAAATAAAGGTATGAAATGAAATGACTACAACAGCATAGTGGAGTGCATATATTTTGTTTAATTAAACCAAACATAGCCCCAAGGCCTTTATAAATGGCAAGTTCAGAACTCAGTACATGTGAAGCTAATATAACCATCAACATCATTAGATTTAGATTAAATGATCGAATAATTCACACAAAATAGCAATTTAGGGCCATACACAAACAACAGTGCATATTATGGTATAATAACAATAAAGACAAGTGAGCCATACCACATCAATTGCTTAATTAAAAGCAAAAACAATTATCAAAAGACTTGTATTAATTACCAAACCACAACACACAGCCTTTTAAAACTCAAACCTTTTTTGATTAACATAGTGATAACTGACATACAGTATGCAACCAACTTGGCAGATATATGCCATCTAATGAGAGAAATGGCAT